CGGGCGTTTTTACGAAGTTGGTTTTAAAAATATGTATATAAATATTGAAATGCAAATACGACTTCTTAGAATTATAAAACATTCAATCCATATCATTGCACGTCACAAATTTATAATAAGTTACAAATGAAAACGGAAACTTTTTAGGAATAATACGGTTGTTAAAATTATTTTTATTTACTAAATAAATTCCATAACGCACGTGTGAAATAATTGCTGGATTAGATAAGTGAAGTTGAATAAAATTGGTGTCAATAGCCTAGTATAGCTTATTGACGAATTCTCGGACGGCATTTAATCTATAAAATTATATTACTTTTGTTTAAACGAACAAAAATTCATTATTCGGACATAGTTAGTTCTCTAGTTGCTGGTTTTAATATATTTTTCTATGCAAGTTTAACTGTAACAGCAAAAAGAATTATATATTTTAAAACCCGATGATGCTTGATTGTTATTTCACCTGATGCAAAGAAGATTGAAGCCACAGATAGTAAACTATTTATTCAGTTATAGCTTTCTTACGCTGGTTCGAAGTCAAGAGTAGAAGGGATTCTGCTGAGAATGGAACACTTTTTTCTAAAAACATTAGAAGCGGGGGGGGGGGGCTGGTTCTTTAAAATAAAAGAAAACTGTCAAGTAATGTCTCGAATTAAATATTTCTGATGTGAATCGCAATTTGATCCATCCTTGAGGTCCACTAAAAAAACACTCGCTAGGCCGAAGTCAGATTTCATTATTAGAATTTCTTCGACAAACTATACCTCTCATAATTGTGGCGTATGGCTGAGTATGCTGGTATGCTGAGGCTGAAGATGTGAATTTTGTCTAGTCATCTCTACTATAAGTGCGAAAAGATGGTAACTCTGACTCGAGCTCGACAATGTTGAGTTCGGACACAAGGCTCTGTGCTACCCCGATATTATTTTTCTTACATATCATGATATGATTATTCTTGATAGTATTCAAGGTTACCTTATAATCACCGTGGTTGGCATGTAGCAATAGGATCGTCATTTAAAACATATGCTTTTATTTTATGAAAACCTTTTTATTTTGGACCTATTTTAAATATTGTTGCCATGTCTATTATTATTGAATGAATGATTTAATAGCAACTCCACCACTTAATGCATTTCTTCTCTCTTAGACGCTTCCTAGTAATACTGTGTTTTTTTCAGGAATGAAAAGAAAACGGATCTTAACTGGCCAGAGCTTGTTACATACTGCGGCTGCTGTACATTATCGACTGGAATATTCATAAGATCGATTATAACTTTGGTAATTATTAGTTCATATATGTTTGTAATACAAAAATAAGTTTTCCTTGTATGACAAACAAGTTTTTTGCAAATTGGTTAATTATCAATGAATTCTATGAAAAGATTATGTAATTAATTATCCACGAATACGAGTATTATTAATTATGAGTAGAAAAATAACTTGGAAATTTGTTGGACTGAATTTCTAAAAAGAGAAAAAACCGTAAGACCTAAGAACAATAACTAAAGCATAGACTTAACCTTATAGCTAAAATCCTAATACCAAACGTTGATTACATAAAATTTTTATTCTTACATAGAACTTATTTCAAACATAAGTACATGTATGTTTTAAACGACCTCAATATTACATATTTTATCACATTCATATAATTTTAACGGCAATTTAAGCAATGATTTTAGGTTTATTGATAGTTTTATTCATTTCAAATATATACATACGTATATATGCCACTACTGAAAGTTGCAAAAATATCGTACACGTGTGTCCAAAATATAATTAAAATTTTTGGACACTGTCAATTCTCAAAAATAAATTTGGTTTTCAGAGTTTGTTCGTTGTAAAGCATTTTAATTTAACCGAAATTACGAAAAATGATTTAAAAATTAATGGAGGTGCAAAATTTATTTTATTTCAATGGCAAATATAAAACAAAGTAAACTGTTATGTTTAAAAAAAATCTAGTTAATAAAATAATAGGATTAGATAATTATGTATGTCTCTTTTTGATCTCGAAAATATATCTAAATCTCTTGTCATTGTGATGCAGGACGCGTAAACTTTGAATGACTCATCTACATTACTGCATGCCAAGGGAAGATGAGAAAGTAAACTGAAGTTACTCGTAATGTTTGTTTTTTTTTTGAATTGAATTTCAATATCATGTTTTCATTCAAAAAAGGAGCCCCAACTGACGCCACCGATGTGTTGTTTTCAAATGGAAGTGATCTTTCTAAAAAAAACGTTTTCTTTTTCTACTAATGACCCCAGAGCAACAAATAAAATAAAAATATCTATAATCACTTATTTTTTCTGGATACACCACTTTCTGTCTGGCTGCAATTTACTATTATTATAAGCGTAGTAATAATTTACTGAATCCTGTCTGCTAAAAATGAATCCATGTCCACGATACAGGCCTAGCTTAGTGTGGACATCAACGTTTACTGTACATTACATTGTTAAGTGTCTTACGAATAAATAAATAAAATAAAACTTCTTTAAATCTATAAAATTTCCCGTTATTTAGTATCTTAAATACAAATTAATTTTTCATTAACTTTTTGAGTAGTTATTTTTATATTGCCTGTATAAAGTTTGATTTCTCGACCTTTTTACTTACGATCGCTAGTAAATGGCTAGCAGTATATATTTTTGGTAAAAATTTTCTTCATTCGTTTCAAAATTGTATGTGGTGGTCTTATTTATTAATAATGTGTATTATATTTAATATTATCCATAACGTTATTAGTTAGTTATAATCTTGTAAATAGTGAGTATTTTTTCTTACCTTGAGTTGGACTAGTGGCTGGTAGAGTGAGCTCCTTCTTTTCAGATGAGTATCCGTTTTACTTGATATATATATATATTTAAATGAAGCACTTCTGTTGTTAACAATATTTTATTAATGCTTAAATTATTGTGATTCCGATTTACTAGCGTGTTTTAGTAACGTTAAATGTCTGTTATGTCCTCGCTTGATTTTCTGGGTAAGGATTTCCTTTTCTTCTTCTTCTTTATGTCCTTAATCTGTTGGATAGGTAATAATTCAAAACACTTTTATTTTTTCTCGTTTAGTTGAATCTTGGAACATTTGGAATTTAGAGTATCTATTCTTAGAATTTAGTGCTCATTACACAAATCTTTTGTTATAAGTTGTCAATTACCTGAATTAAATATTGATTAGTGTGTTTGTTGGCCAGCTAGGCTTGGGCTCTCTAAAAGTCCCGTTTATCGTGCATTTCATGAACATCTTCACCTGGGACAAATGATTGCAAGATGAGTACCGAAACTTTTTTTAGAGATACAGAGGCATGAGAAAGTGTGCTGCGCTTCGAAGTTTTTGGATCTTTATGGCCCGAATTCAAAGACTGACTAGTGACTGTTGATAAAATTATGATCTTGTATTATAATCTAAAAAGCAAGCGTGAGTCAATGGAATGACGTTAGGGAGCGTTCAAGTATTACGTAACAACATTTTCGAAGATTTTTGACCCCCCCTTCCCCCCTCGTAACGCACAGTAACCTTCTTCTGTAGCCCCCCCCCCCCCCCCCCTTCTCAAAACGTTACGTAACACTCAAGTGATCAATTTCATCAAAAGACTTACAAAGCAATCTAGGTATTCCTAATTTATTAAAATATCAATTAAGAGGTTTGCAAACTTGGAATAACAAATAAAAATATCGACCAGACTAATACAATCTGGTCAACATAATGTAATGTATATGAAAAGAGTTGCCAGTTTGGGGGTTTTTATTAATATATTTTTTTAAAAACAATGCTACGTAACGTTTTGTAAGAGACACCCCCTCCCGCCCCTGTAAAGCATCGTAACGTTTTACGAGACAGACGAGAAAAAATCGTCTTCAGTCATTTTCACCACAAAAATTATGATTATTTTTAATTGTTGATTATGAAATATGTCAGAAGTGTGTTAATATTCAAGGTGATTATATTGAAAAATAAAATTGGTTTCGTTTCATTTCCTTCATTACTTAATGGTTAGGCTAATTCGTTAGAGGACCGTCTATGTCCTACAGCATGACCATAAGTCACTTAAGACATGTTCCTACTTAGCTGTAACTAATAGAAAATTAACCAACTTAGTAGTATTTAATTTTAGTAAGGCTTTCTATTCTGATGACATCATGTATGAGCTTCTAAGCTTTCTTAATACATATATCTTCAACAGTATTAAAATATTTTATTTGCATCTACCCTCCAGAGTTCGTCAAAGCACTTTATTTTTTTAATGTTTATTTTTATCGCTATTTAAAAATGCTTCAATAAATGTATTTTCATTATCACCTTAGATTATTGAAATGAACTCTTATTTCAGGTGGTTACTTTAACATTAATAGTTATAAATGGGATGATACTTGGATATATTTCGAGGCTAAAAGCTACAATAAGTGGAAATAACGTAATTGTTCGAGATGAAATCTTGGGCTTAAATCTTACCTACACTAAAAGCGAAGTGCCGAAATATCAAAATGCTTTCCATTTAATGGTATTATATTACTCAGTTTGGCTGACCTACAAATCGATCTACGTAGTTGCGTTATTGTTCACTCTTCCAGTTTTCTGTAAGGTATGTAAGGTTGACAGCCTTTTTAAGGTTGAATTAGAAGCGAAATAATTGTGCCGTAAAAAAATACTTGATATATACTATATCATATTGATTGAGATAATTAACACTTAAATAATCATTGCTATTTATGTTTTATGTAATATTTTTATGTTTTATATTTTATGTAATACTTTCAGGGCTCCCATAAAATGTTAAAAGTGTTGCTGTACGTGAGTATAACAAATTGGATATTGGATATATTTCTAGCGTTTCTGGCTACAATAATATTTAATTATGGTCTTCTTCTGAGAATTCCGCTTCTTGGTGGCCTCTGTAAATATTTCTTTGTTCACTATCACATTGCAACTTGTATACAATCAACCTACTTAAAATAATTTCATTATTACAGTATACGACGGTTACAATATGATTGCCATAAGCAGCGAATACAAAAGAATGACTGGAAAATTGAAACCAAGGTATAAAGATATTGAAGGTGATTTCGGGAACCAACCTTTGAATCAGTACAGTAGTATACAACGTGAGGACTTCCAATACATTGGACCACACTGTAGGACTTGCAAGTGCTATGAACCAGTTCCATCAGTCCAACCAATCGCTATTCCACAGACACCTGATTCAATACAAAGTGATTTAACTCCAATAATAAATAAACAGATAAGCAATTTTGAGCTTAACTATGCTATAACAGGCGTTTTGAATCTAGAAGATGTAGCACAGGAAACATCAACAGGATGTATACGACCAAATACATTAGATTTAAAACTTAATACAACTGATGATGAGAAGATTGTAGTTACAGATGAACCTGTTATATACGACGTTAATCAATTAAACATAGGAACGAGTCCAGTTATTGAAGACAAGGGACTTTAAAATACATATAATATGATAATGTACAGAGGGATTTATATCTTGGGTATACAGTTGATCTGTTAGTTAAAACATTGAAACAATGATGATGGATAAGATGATCTATTGAAATTTAGGAGTAAGGTCTTAATCTTAATCTTTCATCCAGAAAATATTGTGAAACTAGTCAAGTTTATAATTTAGTTACATTTACATACGCGAGAATTAAATTAATGAATACTTTTTAGAAATGTAAAAGGAGTAAACATTTTTTTTTTCTAATTTAATTTTGATATCTGTGAATTAGCCCAAAAGCAGTTCCTATTTCAATGAATACAATTTTTTAAGGTGATTAAAAAATAAAAAAATAATTGTTAATAAGGCGATACAAATGTAAGCAGTAATTGGCTTTTTTCTCAATATACATACACAGAAATTTATGTTTTTATATTAATTGTACTTACAACTTTTGTGATATGATATTATGTTATATAAGATTTTATATTTTGGTGTAATATAAACGTAGTTCATGTAACTACAAAAAATTCAGGTGCCTTTGTTTTGTTTCTTTTTTTAACCTTTTAATGAATATTTTACATAGTTTTTTAAGAATAATAGTCCTTAAACTTATCGAAATGTGGTGTTCAATGAAAAAGGGATCTTTGGTATGAATGAAATACCAAAACAAGACTGAATACTTTAAGAAAAACAACACGTTAAAAACCTACACAAATATTTTCACTTTTTGGCCACACTATGGAGCAAATTTTTTAAAACACTATTTTTTATTTGATAAAAACCATTTATTTTCACCTTGGGGACAAAGAAATTTGTTGTAAACTCAATTTATATTTTTGAGTATATATTTAATTCTTCATGAAAAATGTATTTAGTACCCGTATAAAATTGAACTCTCAGGATTAATTTTAATAAGCTTTTCAATCTATAGCTCAACTTAATTCTATGCTTTAGTTTTGTTACTTGTTCAAAAACCGAAAGAAAAAATATTACTTTAAGATTTAGTACTGAACTACCGATTAGATAGTATAGTATTTAATATAGTATTACTTTTTAACTTCTTGAATGTTTTAAAGTACTGAAAACTACAGAAACTTTAATATACATAATTTTATTCTTGTTAGATTTAGCCACCCGAATATCTAAATATATTAAAATACTGTTTCAGGTAGCAAATTTAGTATGTATTGCTTTAATGGTCGACAAGTTCAGACGCATCATAATATTAAAAGATGGTGCTGTATCTGCTGAAGATGAATCAATAATCACATGGTTCATACACAAGGGAATCGAATTGAATAAAAATTCAAAAATATACAAAGCTTTGATATCTCATTTCATATTTTGGTTCACCTACAAGACAATATACGTTATATTGTCACTTCTAGCTCTTTTTAAAGTATGTTGTGTTTTTGTTTTGTTGAAATTTTCATGATTTGTAAGATATTTTTTAGCCATATATTATTGACAAAGATATAATGGTCAAGTTAATTTAGTATTATATGACATACAAATAATATGTCCAATCTGATTGACTGTATTTAGAAAAAAATAGCATTAAAATTATTACATATCTAATAAAAATGTTTGTGATATTAAAAATTTTGAAATATAAATTGAATGAACCTTCAAGTACGTTGATTTGATCTGACTAAAGAGTATACTAAAGTTATAGTTAAATTTCTTAGAACTGCTGTAATTTATACTTATTCCTTTCAGAGAAAAACAAAAATGTACAAAATGTTGCTGTACGTGAGTATACCAAATTGGATATTGGATACAATTTTAACCTTTATGATCACAATAATAATTAATTACGGGTCCATGTTAAGAAATCTGCTGTTTCTTTGCATCTGTAAATATACATTTATTATTTTTAAATAAAACACATCTTACTACTTTCAATAAACCTATACTAAAAAAACTTCAATATTTCAGTATTTGAAGGCTATAATATTCTGGCAATAAGTAGCGAATACAAAAGACTCACTGGTAAATTGAAACCACGGTATAAAGATATAGAAGGTGACTATACAAGTCAATCTTTGTCGCAGAACAGAACCACACTTGGCGGAGACCTAAGAATCAATACATCACATTGTGAGACTTGCAAGTGCTACGAAACAGTACAATCACTTCAACCTATATCAACTCTACAGACCCCAAATTCTACACAGAGTAATTCAACTTCTGTTACAAATAAACAGATAAGCGACTTTGAGCTTAACTATGCTATAACAGGCGTTTTGAACCTAGATGATGTAGCGCAGGAAACATCAACAGGATGTATACGACCAAATACATTAGATTTAAAACTTAATACGACTGATGATGAGAAGATTGTAGTTACAGATGAACCTGTTATATACGACGTTAATCAATTAAACATTGGAACGAGTCCAGTTATTGAAGATAAGGAACCTTAAAATATAATTTGATAATATTCAAAGGGACTCATATCTTGTTTAAAGATTTGATTTATTAGTAGATCTTTAAGTTGAGATCGTGGATACAAACAAAGATGAATGACATAAGGTATTATTATATAAGGGGCAGGGGGAAATGAAATCGTTCATTTCTTCGCTAGATGGCGATAGTGACAGATTTCTTGTAACGTATCGATCAAACAATTTCAGATCAATTCTCATAAGAAAGGTAACATTTTATAGTCAAGTATTCTATTATGTTCCTGTATTTTCTTGAACGCATTTTCTTGTGAGTTAAAGGATGTTAAAATGGAAATAATCAAGTTTAATAATAATACGTTTTAATATGCCTCTGACTGAGGGGAAAATCGAAGCCAGGATGCCAAAATTATGAAAGGTGATTATGGTCTAATGGATTAAACCAAAGTTTCACATAATTATTTCACTTTAGTGACATATATTCCGTTCTGATTTTTCATGTTAAAGCTGTCCCCCACACAGGGAGGCCGGTATTTGAAAAAATAGTTTTTATCGTTCAAATGATCGAAGTTTACCGGCATGTTAGTAACATAACATTTTCTAGAAGCCAAAGCTCGATAAATTATGTTAAAACAAGGTTTGAAACTATGTTATGATATAGTTCTAAGCCATTTATCTATTCCTGGATTCAAAAAAAGCTCATCTTTTGGGTACTACAGAAATTATCAGCAAAAACATGATGGATGGTGTGACTAGAAATGAGAAATCACATATGATAAACCTTTATAACGACAACAAATCTTACTGTGCATATTTGATCTAAATCGGACATACCTAACCAAGTTTTCAGTCTTGAAGTTTCTATAAAATAATTAATTTATTTTTCCCCTACTTAAAAGATTTTATTTTATTCAGGACTTACTTAGTGGATTGTTGGAGGAGTGTTAATAAAATAGCGTGGAGTTAAAAAACAAATATATTTAAGTTACATGAATATAATATATATTAATAATAGAGAAATATAATTAATGAAAGATTGTTAATAGAAATCTAATAAAGGATAAAAAGTTATTTGTTTTTTTTTTATTTTATTTAAATACCTTAAAATTAATCCAAAATAATTACTTAAATTAGTTCAAAAATCTATAAAGTAATTTTTGAATGGAATAAATTGATTTAATGAGGTCATTTAGCAGAGATGTTTATAAGGCGTTAAACGGTAGGCCACCGCTTGATTTCTTTTAAATTTAGACACACGTTGCAGTTAGTAAAGTAGTGACTTACAATACGGTGCTAAATTATATAAAGTTTTTCAATCCTTATAATATAATATAATATAATATGAAGAATATTTGAAAATATATTGTTTCTGTTCTTTTTTTAACATACTGTTGTTTATTGCACCGTATTAGTATTAGTAGTAATAGTTAGACGGAAGGCTATAGAAAGACGAACTTTTAGCGACCGATTTACACCAGCGTTTGAAACCTACGAATATCAATTTTTGTTAAATCTACCAAACGATAAGTAACTTAGACGTAATACCCGAGTTTCAAGTAGTTACACTTTTTTATGTCAAAGTTGTCAAAAGTTGCCATCTTAGGTTATTAAGAAAGGAATGGAAATGTAGGCAATAAGTAGATGGCAAGATAAGGTCATTGGACGAAACGCAGAAGTTTTTAAAACTCCTACGTTATAATTAATATTTCTTCTTCTTCTATCTGGCAATTTTCCCAGCTTTAACCAGGGTCTGCCTTACATGATGTATATAGTTTTGGCTAATTGTTTTTACGACCGGCCGCCTGCCTGACCTCAACCCTCTTTGGGCATTCATTAAGTACACTACGTTATAATTAATAATAATAAACAGAGAATATTTTGTGTGAGGGCGTTACTTCTCCGGTAGAGCCAGCCTATTTTTGTGCTGTATTAATTTTACCAAAGCTGGGATGACCACCTTTTTACTATTATTGTTAATTATTCACTATTTCTGGACTCTGGTTTTATGTTAGAGGGGATGGAAAAATTATAACATAATATGACTTTCCATATTATGCGCTCCCCGCTTCAGTGAATCTTGGTAGTAAAGTTAAGAAGTTTATGAAGTTTATGACAGGGTGAGGGTACGATAACACTAGATGCTCTGGCCACTTACTATAATTTCTCGAGAGATATCCCAAGGCGACTTAGAATCCTCAATCCACAAGTGCCTTAAGGGTATTTTAGTAGAGGGGATGACCTATAGACGGAGGTTGTAATATGCCCACAATCTTTCTCCCTAGTTTGTGGAATCTAGGAGAAAGGGGAATCGGTCCTTTCTGAAGAAAAATTGATAAAGGTGAGTTTTGAGTATGGTTATTCAAGGTGAGTTTTGAGTATGGGTAAAAAACTCCATACACTATGAATTACATATTTGAGTGGATCTTATTGTACTATACGTCATAATATATCACGTAAGATATATCTCAAGATCTGACCTCATATATTGTCACAATATACTTATATTCTCATTCAGATAAGAAGAGAGAAGGAAAAAGTTGTACAACTTTCTCGATAGGATTTTTCAAACAAATTTACGGATATGTTAGTTATATATTAGTTATACTATACTGAATATATAAGTTACTTTATATCTGATATATTGTAAATATAGCAAGTACCTTAATACGATTTTGAAAATAACATATAAGACATTTTTAGGTACCGGATTTTCCATAGTTTTAATTTACATTATACATACCTTTCTAAGTTCAGGACCGCAACCAAGAAAATGTAGATTTCATGATGGACAAAATTATAAGACAATTTCAATTTGTAATCTCAAAGAACAATACTGCCAATTAACAAAAATCTCTGATAAATATTATTAAACGGTCAAAAATTATTCCATTTAAACTATATTATCTTTCAAAAAAGCATTAATTTTGTTAAAAATATATTGTTATTGATTCTAATCCATTTCAAGGAATACCAATTTCCGCATAAATAATATTATCAGAATAATATTTATTTATTTTTAATAATTCAACGTCGGGATTTCAATGTAATAAAAAATGTAAATAAAAACATACTATTATTTACATATATGTATATATGTCCAGCTATTTCTCGCAATCCTTATCTTGTATCGTGGGCGATGAAAATCCAACATACATATAAACAATAATATTTACGTTCATTTACATTAAATTACAAGAAAAACAGAATATTAATTAGCCTACAAATCAAGTTGATATCAAGTAAACATTGATTAAAAAAATATACAGGGTGACTGGTGAATTACTATCGATACTTGAGGACGTGATATTTGACGATCATATATGACAAAATAAAAATTAATATAACATAAATATTCATAAACTTCTAAGTAAAGTTAACCAAAAGTTATCTAATTAATTACGCATCGTGTGAACACCCTACAGATTAGGTATACACACACACACACGCGCGTGCGGCGGCGTGGTGTTGTATCAGCACGCCGCCGCACGCGTCCACACTTGGAACACTTGGAACGTGTCCACACTTTATTTATTTATACGGAAATTTGGTCAAAAATTAAGTACCTATTTTTTACATAATTCGAATGAGAATCATGTACCGAGTATTCTCCTTAAATATTGATAGTAATTCACCAGTCACCCTATATACACATATTTCAAAAGTTTTCTACTGGTATTACTTATAACTCACTTCACACTTCTAAAAGACTAAAACTAAACTCCTCCGAAGTGATTTATTCTCATTTGTATAAGGGAATTATGCGTCATATATTAGTTATATAAAAGTCACATTTTTATTTTTTGCATGTAAGTATTTAAACCTACAATTCTTAATGTAATAATTGTCATTACAACTTAATAAAAATAACTCAATTTGCACGGTTTATCAATTAGCGATGTTAGCTATAAATATTACAGCGGCTGGTCAAAGATCAAATTTCAAGATTACACATTTATAAAATTATGTACTAATCATAAATATTGCTTTTGTATTTAAATAATAAAAACAAAATAATACAAACACTATTTTTATTTTTACTTCGAAATACTTTTGCTATGATTTGAGATAAGAATTTTAAAACTTTACTTAACCTATATAAAACAATATATTTGAAAACATTAAAAATAGAGAAATTTTGATATTTAATATCTTGTTAAGAATCTGTGTTAAGTTTCTATTATTATTATTGTTTTTTGTATATAAATGTTTATGTATTTATATGTGTGTGTATGTATATATGTATGTGTATATATTATTTATATAGCAATAGAAATTTATATGTATATTTTAACTTTTATTGCTACCGTCTTTACGATTTTCTGTTTTGCCTAAAGGTTGACTGGTAGAGAATGCCTTCAGGCATTAAGTCCGCCTTTTGTGTCTACGTTATTGTAGAGTTTTAAATAAATAAATAAAGTTTGGAATATCTATCTGGTCTTAAGAGTCCTCACTCCTAATCGTTCGTATAATATTTTTTGAACTTGACTCATACCAATGCCTAGGCCTGCCGTATTGGCTGATAGGTCATTCTCTTATCTTCCTCTGTCATGCGTCGCACAGCACTGATGTTATCTTCAGTAGTCATTGTTAAAGGACGTCCCTCACGCGGATCATTGCGATTGCTACTACTATTTTACTTAATCTCGTTAAACCAAATGTAAATAGTAACTCAAGATGGGCTTTCATTAAGAAATCCTAATCGCAGCCTATCATAGCCTTGTTGCTGAGTAAGCCACAATACAAGTCATAATAAATGATTAACAGAATATAATCTCATGTTAGGTTTATGTTCAATTCACAAAACCAGATCACAAATGAATAACTAACTCTTTGGTAACATAATCTAATCGAATCAATAGGTAACCAAAGAATTCTTAAATTTAAATTCAAAATAGTTTTCATTAGCAATGTTTGTAACTGGCCAGTTCTTGATATTTTCAGTGTTAGACACGTATATATTCAATTGGAAAATTTAAATTTAAGTCTAAATTTAAAGCTTTAAACAAGTGGCTTATATTTTTTTAATCAAATTCCCAAGACAATGAGATCGGTGATTACTTACACTAGTTTATAAAACAATATAAAATATACTCGTATGAAGGGTGCACAATTATTTATATAAAATCACAGATCTAGTATCCTTTAACGCTTTCAATCTAAAATAATCCTTAGTCCATTCTTCGTAATTCTATTACATAAAAATATTATTTAATAAATTTTCCTCTACCAATTTTTTCTTTCCCTATGTACAGAGTACACACCTTTTTATATAAAAGTGACTAGTCTTAACACCACACTACAATTGCTATCACAATCTTCATTATAGGCAATTTAATATTTTTTACATATAAGCTATATTTTATTTGAAATAATTTTTAAATTTGTTTGATAATAAATTTATTATAAAATTCACAGTTTAAGAAATTTGTCCTTTAGATTTTACAATTTATTTATTTTTTTCAACGCGACTTTGAAGCCACAATCCTTGGTAGTTCTTGTCTGACATCTTTCACTTTCTTTTCAATAGAAATTATGATTACAAGTCTGGATAAATAAAACATAAAAAAGTATATAATTCAAATTAAATACAATACCAACGTTACTAGGTCAGATGTCGAATTAGTGACTTTAGTAAATTACTACTCCATTCAACAAAAAATATAATATATTAATGAATGGTAATGGACATAACAAGAAACTTCCTTTAGGTCAACCAAAAATGAACAGAGAAATAAGAGTTATATAATATTGGTTAAAAGAGTGGTTGTTGTAAAATAATACACACTCTCCTTTCTATAGCGTTAGTTAAAAATATTAATAATTAAAAGTAAGAAGCTGTTACATCAATAATTCTTTTGCATGGCAGTATAGATGTTAGATAGTAATATGGAATCCTTAAGAAATATATTCGGTGGCATTATATTGCAAAAGTTATTATGAACAATGCAAATATTATAACTAAAAAATACATTTGGTCCGTTTTATATTCTAAAATAATCATCACACATTGAGATCTAAGTATTTCAAGTGTGTTCATTTAAATAAAACTTAAATTTCCTGATTACTAGGAGTATATTATTATTTTTAGTTTTCATTCTTATCTCATCTTCGTGATCACGAATGCTGTAAAGAAACCTAAATTTAAGGAGTGTGAAGTTCAACATAAAAAGTCATAGCAATCCGATAATACTAGTTCTAAACACCAGATATCCGTTAAAAACCCAAAGTAAACTGTATTCATTCATAAACAATTCCTGTAACAGCTTATCATATAGGAAATGGGAAAACAGATCCGAACTCCCCAAAGACTGATAGTGACGTAAACAATATATTCACGCTCCATATAAGATCCGTCAAATCCATTGAGATATAAGAGTCGCTTCATTGTGATAGCACGTACAGGACGCTACTGTTCGATTGTAATATTTGTTTCTGTGAAAATGTTCTGCGAAATACCAGAATTCGGAAGATGTTGCTTTTGCATGCCCCTGAGAAGAGGCATTTTAGTGTTCGGCTATTTAAATATAGTGAGTATTAATTTATTTATGGTCCGTACTCCAATATATGTATATATAAATTGTTTTGTAGATACATTGAATATTATGTCGTTAGAATTTTGTATTTTATATGCATATTAAATTAGCTGTCATAGTACTTATAATATCACTTTAATTTCGTGCAACTTAATTAATTAAACTTTATTTTTCATGCTTTCAAATATTTGATAATTCCTTTCCATAATAGCGTCGTTACTTTAATTGTGAAAAGATAAAATAAATTATAATAGATAAAGCTTATTCATGAAAGACACGGAAATTATTAATAACTAGTTAAATATTGTCAAACAAAGATATAATTAAGCTTACAATAGAAGTTTGTGGTTGTTAAAATAAACAGAAGGGAATATATATGTCATTAACAAAGGAGTTTTTATTTGTTCCACTAATAGGATTTTAAAATATTTCTAGCAGCTCTTAATTATATGTGGTAATAACATCAAATTACAATTTACATATATATTTGACATTACAAACTAAATTATAAAGAAGAATAAATTCGTTTAGTAACGCTTGAAAATAAATAATGTATAATTGTTCGCAATTGATAAATTAAACAAAAGTATATAGATGTTTTGTTAATATGTATGTACTTGAAAAGTTTATGGAGTTACGACTACTATACGTAATACACAGACATACATATACAATGGATTATTTTGTATGTATGTATATTGAAAACGGAAACACGACTCTTGATAACGCTACACTATCAACAGTTATTTTCCCTACATTATATTATTTCAACATATATTTATATATCAAGTCAGATAAGCCGAGGTCCCTGCGGTTTTGCATAGATTTTATTAACATGAACCTTGATTGAAATCAAAATAATTCATGATATTTGGTATAAGGAAAACATCCCATACATCATTCTGTAGTCGCAAAACTTACTCACTACCTCATAATTACATTTGTAGAACTATTTTTCATCCCGGACGCCGTCCATTGTGATACTGACTAATCAATAAAAAACGACTATTACGTATAATTTTATTCCTTTATTCACATGTTTAAATTATAACAAAAACAATGTTTTATTTTTGTATCTGATAACAAAATAATTTTTTAAAATGTTAATGAACTTTTAATACAAATAAAAGCGTTAGCGTCAGTATGGACAGGAATTATCAAATTTAGACAATTCTATTTAGGAAACTTTTATAACACGTTGTACAGAATCCTTGCCATAACACAAGTTAAATTTTGTTTATTCAGAATTAAGAGGTTAAAAAACAAACAAACATCAAAACATTACTTACAATTGGATAGCTTATACATATATTATGTCGAAATTTCCTTTGAGTATCAGTAATGGTTAAAATCATGAATGTCAGTAAACTTTTCAACCATAATCATTATAAGAAAACCTTTGTCTGTATCGAATAGTTGCAAAAATTGTGATTATACATACATATTTCATCTAAATAGCAATATCTGAAGCTATATTAAGTAAGGTTTCTTTCTTTCCAGTTATTCTCGTTGTTCATGATCGGAGTGTACGCTCTGTCAATTGATCAAGGCTATGGGATGCTCATGTTGTACCATGGCGTTGCAGCCAGAATGGAAGAAGAGCTCTGCATCGCAATATACGTCGTGGACATCATATTCAACATTGTACTATTATATGGAGCTCACAGAGTAAGTGATATTAAAAGAGCATGTTAAATCAATCTTTATTATGATTTCAATGGATTTTCATTAACATATTCATAAAGTATCATGTCCTTAATATCAGAGTACTATTTATTAATAACTAGTTTTTGCCCGCGACTTCGTTCGCGTTAATTAATGAGTGATATATGTATAACTGACCGGGCGAACTCTATTCCTCTCTAAAGGCTATAAATAACCAGATTTTGGAATTTATAAAGTACTATTTTTTCGATCGAACAGAATTAAAATATATCCTATGTCCGCGTCGTAGTTCTAAGCTATCTCTTCGCCAATTTCCAACTATATTCCTACAGCTGTTCTTGAGTTATAAATAGTGTGTGTGTAACTAACATAACTTTTTTTATATATATACAACTTTCTTTTACAGAAAATGATGATACCTTTGAAGATAGTTTACTACTATATGCTGATGACTGTTGTAGCTGATGTTGTTATGGAGATAGTGTCCATCGTTGGTTCTCAATTCTTCGAGGCTTTTGAATTATTGGCTCTGTTTTGTTTGGGATTGTGTAAGTAAACAGTTATAATGACTAATATCTAAAGTTTAATATATATATTAGCTTAAAAATATTGTTTCAATTAAGATATTTTTAAGTTCAATATATGTACTATTCATATACAATTTAAGTAAACTGAACAATTTAGCATTGAATAATTTGATTATTATTTCGAATATAACTACTTAATAGGACCTAAAAGTCTGTTTTAAAAATAATATATTTTCAATTAATTATGTTTCCAGGTTTACATCTATACCTTCTCTTCTTGTTGCGAACTCTTCTGAAGAATATGGACATACAAGGTAGCGCATACGAGAATCAACTGCAACAGTTCATAAACGGAGAAATAAGGGTGGAAGGAAACGGCGTCTACCCGAATATTGTTGTACCTAACGAAACAGTGTAGTGAATTTATTTTAATTATAATAATATTTTATTAATAAGTATAATATAAATACTCATTTGGTAAACGCGGTAGGTCGGATACAAGACGAGGTTCAAAATTGTAGTTACTACTTTTTTGAAGATTTGTTAGACATCGCTTTTGTCAGTATAAAATATATCAAAAAATTATAGTACAATATGTCCTTTGACTATTTTACAAGAATTTATACATGTATGAAAGCTATAAGGACCATATTAATTAGTATTTTTTCAACAGATTTTAATAAGAAAATTGTGCAATATGAACAATTTAATTATGATTATTAGTTACAAGAAGTTACTTTATACCAAAGAGATAAATGTGGGCTGTGTATAATATATTGTATGTAACTCATAAACTTAATTTAGAATATAATGATTTAATAAATTAAATTCTTATAACAAAAATTTGTATTTTTTTCACATGTCATACTTTAAAATTAATTTGAAACTTTATTGATTGAAGGAGGTGTATTGATAATAAAGTTGTAATTAAAATAGTTTGTTACCAAATTATTTACAGTGTCATAATAAAAAACGGAACTAGCAAAAAGACACAAATATGTATATAATATCCACTTATGTTTGTGTTCTGCGACCATTATACCAACGATATAAAACCCTTGATGTTTCTTATAAATGGTCAATATGAGATACATTTTACAAATACATAATGAAATACGTATACAAATAAATATTTTTATAAATAAAGATTTGTATAATATATGTTACTTAATTTAATAAAAATTCTGAATTCATCCAGACTAAATATATTATTAGAATAGAGCCAACTTCATCTTTTATTAGACATATTTATTAGTAAATATTTATTACATCAATACTTTGAACATTCTTAAAATTCTTATATAAAATATAGTTCATACATACTATTGATGTTTGAAAGTGTCAGCACATATCCAGACGATTATCATGGCTATTACTTTGTAATTAATTGAAAAGGGGGCAATAAATAAAATACCTAATATAGCACATGCTACGAAATAGTATAGCAATTCCTTTGTTATTCGTAAAAATATGGTAAACTGAGATCTATCAATAGAGTCCAGACCAGCAATTCCGTGGGTCGTTTTGTCTTGATAAATGTAGGAGGACGAGGAACACAAAGCATACACAATGTCACATTTCCGCACCTTAACCGATAAATAAGATAATTGTGGCGCAGCTTCGTGAGAGCAATCTTATGAAGTCAGCGGTCGTACTGACAACATTAGTTGGATAACTTGTGACAAAAACATACATGTTCTGATTATTCTATATATATGTTATGAAGGAATCGTTTTTAGAATTGTTTGTTTCTTAATTTTTTGTAAACAATGCGAGTGGAAATACCTGAGTGTAAAAGATGCTGTTGTTGTCTCCCATTGAGACACGGTATTCTTATTTTTGGATATCTTAATTTGGTGAGTGTTGTTTTATTTACATACATATCAATGCTTCTATAAATCGTGAAATAAACTTGTTCATAATTTCCTTTGTGAAGTTATTGTTGATAGGATATTAATAAATTTATCTAGGCTAAAATCAGTACAAGAACTTAACCCACATAGTTATAAGTTCAGATTAGATTTATCCTATTTTTTTCACACACATTATACCATACATGTTGTCGATTTTACCTTTTGTATTATACAATATGTAAACCTATGTTACTTATTCCTGATAGATAAATGGGAAGAAATATTTACAAATAAACTATTAAATAAGGAACCAAGGAAGATTCAAAGTATTCTAATACTGTTTAAAGTTTTTTAAACATTACCAAAATAGACTTATCATATTAATAATATATTTTCAGTTGTTCTCAATATTCGTCGTAGCCCTAGAAATAGCACTCAACATCAAATATATGTATACACCGTACACTATGGCCATGTACAAGGGGGTTTCATTTTACTCACAGGTAAATAATTATGAATTTCGTAATAGAATTAACTACATTTATATAAAAATTATATTTATTTATCAAACTGTATTGTTGGTTATTTGGTGTTTTCCTAATAGCTAAGTATATATATAAATTAATTTACAATAAATTAATTTTATTTCGAGAATTTTAAAGATATGATGAAGCAAGACTTTCATGACACGAAATTGGTACAAAACTGGTTTCTCTCTTCAGGTCTGGTTTGCACTGGTGCTTTACTTCACAGAAATCGTCTTTAATATAGTGCTACTGGTTGGCGCTCATACGGTAGGTTCAAGAAATTAAATACTAAAGTCACGATACATAAAGTCTTTGGCAAGGTTTTAGTTCGATATAAATATTTTAATATAGATATTTTCTACATAGAAGACAATTGTATTCCTAATCTAGTTCAATTTTTTTGTGTTAATTATAAAACATAAACTAAAAGAATGTTTTAATAATCAGTTCTTACATAAATCACACACAAATAACCATACACTTTTCCTCCATGGTTGCTAAGTAATTATAAATTGACAGAAAAAGACCAAGTTGCTACGAGTTTTCTACTACTACGGAATAACTACAACACTGGCGTCTCTAGTAACTTTCATAGTAGTACGTCAAGATGAGATGAATCATTACTGGACGTACTACATAGTCGAGGGAAGCTTTGTTATATGCGGACTGAGTGAGTTCAACATTTAGTAATTAAAATTTCTTTTAATAAAATCTAAGATTTTCGCGAGTATTCATTAAAATAAAACTCATATTTTCGAATTACAACAAGTTGTTTTTTAGTTTACACTTCATACTCCAAACGTTTCGGTTAATTTGAAGCAAGCATGATTCCGGGTTGACAAGATGAAAAATTTTGCTCCTATCAGTAATTCGAAAATAATAGTTTTATTTAAAATTTATATTTTACTTTATTTTTATCTTCACATTTTCTTTCATGTGTTAGTCCCAAAAAATTTTAAACTAATGAATGATAAATATAATAATAAATTTATAAAATAATAAATAAAGCTAATTTTCTTTGGTAGATTATACGTTAAAAGCCAACAAATAAGCATAACCCATGTATCTATTGTGATATACTTTGTAAATAAAGTAAAAGAATTAATAACTCAGTAATTTTTTACATTAATGTTGCAGTACGTAAACATAAATAGGTATTCTTTATTAATCCTAAATGAAGTAAAAGTTATTTATAAGCAATGCTACAAATGCCCGGTTTCATTTTTATTGATACACCTTTAATAACTTGATGACCAGGTATCCAAGCGTATCTTCTTTTATTGGTGCGAAGTGAACTACTCAAGTTGCGTCATTCAACCCGTCTGTGTTACGTGAACCATGCTGCAGAGGTGATGGTTGAAACCCCCATACAACTAGGAAGAAACCCCTTCTGAGTTACGGAACCCCTTTTGAGGGTCAAAACCCCCGTTGAGTTAGATCACCGTCTATTGTGATGTAGATAATTAGTTGATTTTTTCTTTAATTAAGTGTATTTGAACTACTATTATTGTGTGTAAAATTTTGTATATTACAACTATTTTATAAAATTAAATAAATATTATGTAATGTTTATCTTTCGACTTTTATTTAGAATACAATTTAATGCCCAAAATTTTATACTGGACTAAACTAACTATATACAAATAATACTTAACTATATGTATATTAATTAGAGTTAAAAATAAGGACATGATAAGAACTGAAGATGATTTAAAATAACATTAACAATGTATGCAAGTTCCTTTGTGTGAAACATTGGCAGTAGTGCTATGACGTGATATTTAATAAAAAATACCCACGGTCAAAGTTTATCGCAGACATGTACAATAAATATGTGCTTCCCATTCTGTTTGTGTAACTTTGTTACATATAATTGTATATATATTAATACATTTATTTATATTTCAAACTAAATATAATATGTGACCAGTAAGTGTTTGCTTAATCAACCAAAAGAAAAGTTCTAGCAAGATAATCAATAGTTATACAGCATTCTAACTATGAACTACGTAAAAAATAAAACGTAGAAATTTTTAAGAAACAACAATGACACATACTCCCTTCCACGCTTCTTATTTATCCTTAATTTCTTCTAAATCAATTTAAAAAAATACTTCTCATGTTTTCTTAATATATATATATGTCAGGCATATTCGAATAATTTCGTCAGTCGTAATTATTATCACCAATCTCTTCGGTAATAGGAGCAGTTCAAACCGATCTCTTTTTATTTCAAGTAAAGCCCGGCAATATGGTATAAATCTTGTGAGAAAATATCAAACAGTGTTTGCTTAACAGTAGATAATATTAGTAATGAAATAATTAAAATATTTTAAATAAATATTCAAATTAAACATCTGATAATGTGTTTGAAATCCCCAAACCGCTGCCTATGTTTACCGTTGAGGCATGGATTGTTGATTTATGGGTATATTGGTTTGGTAAGTAATTTGGTTATAAAATCAATAGCAATTATATTTTTTTAAACAGAAAAATATTATTTGCAGACCTTAATTATAAGATTACAGTTAAGTCTAATCTCTGCATTTAAAGAGGACGTTAATAAAAAAACTTTATAAAATGATGATGTCTTGATTTGATTTTAATTAATGGAGTTTCTGAAAAATAAATACAATTTTACATCGAGAAGAAAATAGTAATATTATATTTTGATAATATGTGTATAAATATTTATTTCATAATGTATTCATAGTATTAATGATAAGATCCTTGAAAATTTTGTTATACAAAGACTAATTTGCATCGGTCTAGGTTTAAAATGTTTCATTTCTATAATAACTGTCATTCTTGCGAAAGCCAACATTCTGAATTGGAAACAAATAATATTATATATCTACAGAAAATATTATTACAATAAAATATTACAAAGATAAGTAAATTATTCTGAAATAGGATAAATTATTTTAATCGTAACCAAAGTTTTCAACGAATTTTTTAAGGACACGTGTTATAGAAAATTTTATAGCATCATTAACTCTTTCAAAAATATCATTGATCCCAAAATAGTAGGTACATTTTGTTAAAATAACTTTATATAACTCACATTTTGGTTGATATCAAACCTACACCTGGGTCGCAAGTCCCAGGCACTTTTGAAGCTCCTCTCCCTGCAACGATGGACCCGGCACCCGCACGGTGAATCCATAAAATGCTGAGAAGTTTCGTCTCACTATTAAAATAATATTTTCAGGTAGTAAATTATCTAAGTATTCTACAAAAGCTGTTCCAGTTGAGTGATTATGCGGACAGCGAAGGTCCATTTAATCCTTGTCAATTTATAAACTTGTCGCTGATGTTTTCTTCTATAATCATTCATTTTATATTTCACATAATTTTGGTCGCTGGACTGCATAGAGTGAGTACACTTTAGTTATACTATAATCGTTTTATGAAATTGTTTTTCGTATATTATTTTAGTTACATATGTAAAATATACTAAATTGAAAACACATTATAATTTGTAAAACACCTTCTGGTTTACCACATTAAATGATTTATCAACTAAACTGAATAAATCTGTTTCTTTTATTGCAGAAAAGCCGTGGTCTATTAGAAGTTTTCTACGGATACCAATCGCTACTAATAATTATTGAAGTAATAGTATCCTCACTTTACCTACCACTACAGATATACAAGAACTACGATACAGTAATACATAATATAATGTGGTTAACACTTGTAGTTGGGATTCCGTTGATAATATTATTATTACGTAAGTTATCTCATAAAAGCTTAATCGTTTCGAGAAATTCCCAACCTTTTGACATACTACATATGTTTATCGTGTAATGTATTTACATTTTAATTTTGAATGCATACTTGTTGGATACTTTACTATAACGAGTGTATACGTCAGGATGAAATGCGATTTTAAAACGTCCTATTTATAGTACGAGTATATTAGCTTGTAACTAGTACCAGTACCGAGACTCGCCAGCTATAGTTTCTCATCTCTTAGAAACTGGCACACAAATACAAGGATATTTTTCTAACGAGTTGTCTCGTTTAACACTTCAATAATATTATAGTTTTATATCAATTAAAATATTTAATTAATGCTAACAAATTAAAATTATATTTTTATTTTAGTCAACTGAATTTGATTGCTGAAAAGCATATTTTGTTTGTCTAAATCCTTGATATTACTTAATTTTTTAGTCAATTTTTCCACATTAGCTCAATAATTTGTATAAACTATTCTTATTTTTACCTTATAATATAATTAATACGAGTATTATCATATGTAGAAGCATAAAATGTTATAAAAATTCTTAATGTATGTTGCATCTTCATAACAAATTGTAATACATGTCTTTTTTTTGTTTTCAGTGCAAGTTTATCTTATAATTAAAGTTCGTAGTTACATAAATAAATTGGAGGATATAGAAGATGAAAGTTACCAGCCAGCTATAGACGGTCTGTTAGACGAAGACTGCACTCTACAATCTTACAAGATGAATGATCATACTGATCAGCATGAATTAAAAAAAAACACTGCTTTTACATCATAACAGTATTATTAAATAAAAATAAAGACTTAGCCTTGACATTCTATACGTTTTTAAGCATTTTAGAATAGATTTCACCTAACCCCTTATCCTAACGTAATGTTTAAACCTTTCGTGTTAGCCTCAAGAGTATAAATGAAATATAAAGTTAAATTTTAGTTTTAAAAACACACAAAACATATTTCAGTCAAAATATAAATATATTTAAATAAATTTTACAGAAACGTGTATTTTATACATATATCACATACAGTTTTTCAGATTTTAAAAATTATATAAAAAATATATCCTTATAAAAATATTAAAAATATTAATCATCAAAATTTTTACAACTTTTTAAACAAAACTTATGGTAAAGTCTTATTATTAAAATAAAAATTATGTGTGACGTTTTTTGGACGGCCTTCTTTTTACTTTTTACGTAATCTATGCATCACAAACGTTACGTACTCCCTTCATTGATATATGCACATTCCGGCTCAGTCTCATTGTTTAAAAATTGGAATTGTGCGTTGCTTTTCAACTTCAAGACTTCACTACGTACTAGTAACACTATATATATTTGCAGTACTGGAAATAAAAACAATAATAGTATTAAAATCCACTTAAAATCAATATTAAAAATAAAATATTATTCGTGACTTCTATATCTTAAAGATTCATGCTCAGCAAAAGGTATTTTAGGCCAAATCACCAGAAAGGGTTTTTACCCGGGATTTCTGAATGCCTAGAACACAACACTTTGCTGTCGGAGAGTTTAAAGGATGCTAGAAAAAGCAAGTTTGTTGGATAGACTTAGAGAATGAGAAAATGTACTTACACAGTATTAAAAATAACACAGCTAGCAGTATTAATAAAGAATACACGTGGTCAGCTATTATATGAAATATCACAGAGCACAGAACCGACAGCGTAAGAAACACAAATATACTAGTTTTATAATACATTTCCATAAACTTTACATTTTTCTGAAACAAAAATAATATTTTAATCACATAATTGAATCGGAATGTACAAAGAAGTGCCATAAAGTTGCAAATATATGTGTAATTTTTGATTTAATTTTTGTATTGATTTGTACAAAAAGATTAAATAAAAATGGTCCTATGTGATAATCTAAAGAAAAACACTTATAAATTCTAATGTATATAAACTTCTAAACTTAATTTGAAAACATAAATTTTGCATTACAAAGTTTAAAAACCCAGATAAATCATGTAATTTATAGCACCTTGTCATATTAAGTATAAAATAGATTAAAACTCTTATGTAAGTGTGCTTTAAAAATTCCTACTACGGAAACAGAACTTTGAAGGTAAAATCAAATATTTTCTTACCTTATGAGCGCTTACAATTATGAAAATTCCAATAACTATGTCCAAGAAATTAAGACAAACAGATATCCATATCAAGACATGGGTCACGTCGGCATGTGGAGTAAATATTAAATAAATGATTAGAAGGAAATAAATTATTATTAGTAACAATAGCACGCTTATTCCCTGAAAAAAAAACGAGATTTTTACATTTATATACATGGCTTAACATGAGAACATTTTATTTCTTTGTATTTTATCATGAAGGATACCTATAAGGTTACAGCTTTTGAATCAAATTGAAATCTACAGGTGGCCATTTTGGTTTTGACTTCACAAATAATTATTATCAATATAGAATAACTATTCTATCATTCTCTTCAATATTGAGTTAGAGAGGTTATACAAAACTAGTCGTTTGCAAAAAAAAGAATTACCTAAACGAAGAAATTAATAAAAGCAGCAAGTAAATGTATTGCGTGTCGCAAACTTACCAATTTTATATAAGCTAATGTAAGGAGACCAGGTCTTAGAGGAACGCAGCAACAACACGTGTCAGGATCTGGCAAATCACAGCGAGAGTTCAAGCAAAATTTTTTAAGCATCCCGATTTCTTTATTTCCCTCTCTATCAGCACCACTTAAACTTGGCCCACGAGATTCCATTCGCAAAACACAGTAACTATTTTGACTGAAAACAAAAGAATTAGTTTATATTAATCTGCCGGTTAATAATGTGAGTTATAATCATTAACTAGTTCTTAGCACAGTAAATATTTGTTGAAAATAATATCGAGACACACCACTAAATACTCCGTAAATAGCCGGGGTGACGTCAGATGTAATTATATAAATACACCGTCTGTACAATTAAATATTTAATCTGAATCTTAATTATGAGTATTAGAGTAGAATTTTAATTAGCACAAAATGTTGGTACCTATATTTAGTTTTTACCAAAATCTTGTTCAGTCTGGACCGCTAGCTGCAGCACACTAAATAGAATGAACGATAAGAATACATTCGTTCAATAGAACGGGAATGAACTTCGATGTCGAGATAATTAAAGTTTATCAATTCTTATTCAAGAATGATATCGTTTCTGTACAATATCTTTCTCCAAACATATTAAATTTCAATTAATGATGAATGTTTCACACAATGATCTAAGACGTTCGCGAGTATATGCTTTATTTTGTTATTTGAAAAACAACTCGTTCTTTGAGTGTTTCACATATTAAATGAAAAAATAATTATTATTTGAGAAATTTCAAACATTACAATACCTAAATTCAAAAGTGTGCAATTTTTAAAGATATTTCAAAAAATCTGAAAGATCCAGCGCATGGCTACTATTAGGTATAATATATAATACTATGATGAAAACAGCATTAGAAGATTTTTATTTATTTGCAATTTTTCCAAACTCAAAAGCAATTCTTAAATGAATCGTCTACTTATTTTAAAAGAAGTCTAATCTCTAACTGCGAATCTTTAGCATATAATGTTACAAAAAATATTTTTAAATTCACCTACCTCAAGAATCCAGACGAGCAATTTTTGTTCTTTGTTTTAATTAATATCAATTGTATCGGCGCGTAGTTGACGCTCCGATGTACAGATTTGTCTAAAGACGAAATGATTAAAAGAAAAGAACATGATGTCATCTACGTGCATGATTAAGAAATTGTGCAAGAAGTATATCTTTGTTTACTCAAATGTACATTTATAAATTCAAATTATTTTGTATTCCGCGTATTGACATTATATTTTGCATAGAGCTAAAATTTCTTTGCATTTACTGAAAATGAAATTCAAAATTAAGATTTAACAAATAAATTCATAATGCTTTTTAATCGGATTAGACCACCGATAATAATAAATATTTCAAAACGATAATAGTAAGTTTCTGCTTTATCAGACTTTTAAGGGAAGATCCTAACTTTTTTATAATTACGTAAAAAGTGGAATTTTCTTCCTGGATCTATTCTAAAGGCTACCCGGACAGAGTCACGGGCAAAGATTACAACAAGGTCGTCATTTCCCAGTGCGATATTATTAAATGCGTAGTATTGAGTTGGACAATGTACATAACAGAGTGCATTTATTTTTATAAAAAAGACCATCTATACAACGAGTCTTGGTATTTTTTTAATCAAAATAATCACTATGAATGCTTACAAACAATCTGATAATAAATCTTTGGGTTGGTCAGTTTCTGTTTAACACCTTATAAACTGTTCTATCAACCCAAATCGGTTTAAGTACGACGTACGGAGATTTATTTGTTAAAAACATATTACAAAAAATAATAAGATATCTTTTGTAATATACAAATGAATAGCTGCATGTATTGCTAAGAACAAATCTCGAAAGTATCTGCACTGATGTGGGTATGTGGGTAATTCTTTTTTTAGAATACTCCTTGAAGCACGAGGAAGTTTCATACGAAATAAAAAAAAATAAAATTGCTTGAAAAACTCTTAAATCAACACTTTTCTATATTCCCATATAAAAGATTCGTAGTAATATTTAAAAATGAATTTTAACCTAATGCCATTATATGTATAAAGTTTAAGTACTTAAGAAGAGGTTTTGTTTTGGCAAAACAATTGACTGATGTTAGTGTAGTATAATTATTATCGATATCAATACTTCACTATTAAAAGAATTTAGTTGTTTAAGTTAGTTTTTATGTTTTTGACATATCTAATATAGTTGTTGACTCATTAACATTATTTTTTCTTTTTATCTTTCGAGCTGACCCGGCGTCACGATTAGCAGAAAAAGTATTAAAAAAAATAGAATTAAAACATCAAGCGTACAATATTCTAATTTTAAAACTAACATAAGTTGCTGACCAAAACTGCCACATAATATAAACATACATATTTTTTCAGAGGCATCTAACAATTATCGTCAAAATCACTTCCTATTCGCTTATCAATTTGAATGCAAAACGTTTCAGATTCCAGATCGATTAAGCCGAAAACAATGAGCGTATATTTTTAATGATAACTCGTCCTGGGATAACAAATCCCCGTGATTAACACAATGGGAAGTAAATTTGCGATAACATTTTATTTTTAGTCATATTATCATTTAAAACAGCCCGTCAAACATCCGACCGCAGATCTGTTGCAATAGCTGGTGTATACACAGTTTTTTATGCGCTCCCTTTAATATAAATGTCTTATATTCTATATTGACTGTATATATTGAATAAAATGCGTTGTGAGATCCCAGTACTAAGAAGATGCTGCTTCTGTATACCACTTAGAATAGGATTGCTCGTTGCAGGATACGTTAAGTTGGTGAGTTCAATATTCAATGTCACAATACTCCCACTCCCACGTATACACAGTTTCATTTTATATTCTCATAATATCTTTATGATATTTAATTAATAATTATTTTATATTTCGCCTTCCATTTATTTGATTATTCAACAGTGGGTTCATTATTTTTATAGATATTATACTATAAAAATAAATATATTTGTAAGGAACTAAATGTACCTACTGCGTTATTTTTATATTAGTTTTGTGTTACAAAAATAGTAGAAAAAATGTAATGGAAAGAATAAATTTGTTGTTGTTTTTTTATAGTATTATAAGGTTACGAAGCATGTATATTTAACAAGTTGATATTTACTCGTCATATTTAGATAAATGAAATAGATTAACTAGTCAACAGATTTTTTTATACTTAGAGGTTTATTACTTAACTGTGTAATTGGGTCTAAAGTATGTGTTGGTTACCAAATAAATTAAAACATTCAATATGCAAGTTGGGAACATAACATAACTCACTGCAATCAACATACTAAGAATTATTAGAACGTATTTATACAAACTCAAACCAATTATGATGAATACAGAGGGGTTCAACAAATAATGTCGTGTACATATCGGGAAAATCATTTATGATTTATAAAGCTAAAAATAAAATAATTTTCTCTTAAGGAATTAAAAAAAGGCATTTTGGGACCCGTCAAATAAACTGTGTATCTGCTAATACATTGAAATAATGTATTTACGTCATTAGCCATCAGGAAGTCTAATAATTATAAAGAGGCGTATTTTGTGAAAATAATGTAAATTTTAAAAATACAACTGTTATTCAACGGCTATTGACACTTCAGTATTTTTCTTAGGTTATTGAGAACTCATTATTATAGTACTAATTTATAAACATGTAGAGTCATTAAAATCCGAAGACAGAAATCCCTTTTGCTACTATTGAAATTTTTTGTGACTATCATTCAGGAGCAAGGAACAAAACCTTAATTATATGTAAGTCCAAATTAAAAAGTAGGTAATAGCAGGATACTGAAAATTTTACCCTCTTTTTGCAGTGCTATCAACTTTACGTAGGAATTTACGTAGGACAAAATGTTATTGAATCCAAATATCTATCGAGACTCATAGATATTCCATAGTGCCCCATATTACTATATCCCTACATAGTATAATGCTAAAAGCTAATAGACATTTATTTTTAGTTAACCTTGTTTATATAGAAAAAATTCAAAAACTCTAAAAGGTTTTGAAGATAAACACACATACAAACATTATAATTTATGATATTAGATTTGTATCTTTTCCTTTTGTTTACGCAAAATAAATTTTACATTTGCGGTGTCTTAATTGAGAATAATTCTTATTTTCAGGTCCTGAGTCTCTTATCTTTCATGTATTTAGTAACGACTTTATATGCAGCGATGTATTATGGAGTGGTCAAAGAAAATGCAGGATTTGTAACTATTCTAATATTTTCCATGTTAAATAGTTTCGTGGATATTGTTTTTCACACGGTATTCATCATTGGAGCGCATAAGGTGAGCAATTAATAATAAAATTTTATTAATGACTGGACATATTATGCGAAGGGATGAATGTCATATAACAAGAAGAACGTTAGATGTGAATGTGGAGGAGATATGTGGGTCGAGGTAGGCCTAAGAAAAGATGGATGGATTGTGTGAAGGATGACATGGCTAAGAAAGGGTAACCGATGAAATGGTGACTGATAGGCGAGACTGGGAGAGAAGAACATTTTGTGCCGACCATACATAAAGTGGGACCAAGACAGGAATAAGAAGAAGAAATAACTGAAAAAATTGAAAACTTAATATGTCTTATTTGCCGTTATTTTAACTCAAACAATATTATTGAAATTTATTTTATTATTATTAATTTCATTCATTTTTATTTTGTTGCAGAAAAACCACAGAATGATAAGAATGTACAATAGATACAGTATCTATAATATTGTAGCTGTAACAGCATTTTTTACTGTTAATATGGTTATTTTCATGAACATATTTATTCTTATTTTCCTTTTGAAATATGTTATATTTATAATTTTGACGTTCATATGGACTGTATGTAAGTAATAAGATCTAAGACTTTCTTGAGTATTTATTTAAATGAAACTAATATTTTCGGATTACGATTACGAGATATCTCGTCTGTCCGTGATCACGGTTGCTGCTAAGTAACCGCAACATTGGGAGTATGTAGTTTAAAATAATAAAATACGCGTAGTAATCCGAAAATATTAGTTTCATTCATATAAATACACTATAAATTATTAAACAAATATAAAAATAATCTTTTTGAATAGCCAGTGAAAGTAAGGGTTAGAAAAAAAAATTGCTTAGCATTCCATGGATTCGTACGGGTGCCGGGTCCATCGTTGCAGGGAGAGTAGCTTCAACAGTGCCTGGGACTTGAGACCTAGGTGTAGGTTTAAGGGATCCCTATTTAACGCTCGTTAAACGCTCACCTTCACTGTCCAAGCTCCTTTCTTTGCCTAACCAAAAGAACCTACTAGGGCTGATTCGGCCGTCTATATATAAACGTATATATAATTGACGTGTATTTTTCAGTGTTTCAACTATATCTCATGGTGTTGGTACGAAGTGAAGTTATGAAGTTGAAAAGCAACGCGCAGTTTCAGTTCGTTAATAATGAAGTGGAAGCTCAATGTTCCGCTACACTAGAAGAAATTCTAAGTGAAGATAAGAATGACAATGGAAATGTTAAGACTTTAGAATAAATTATTTTATAATTCAGTTAAGGGCGTTCTCATAATATAATTAAACCAGACAATCTCATTATTGTTTTTCCATTCGGAAGTATTGACGAAGTATAAGTATACGATACAGGTAAAAACTGAAAACATATTAAAATTACGAAACCTATACACATTTTGGTTAATTTTATGCTATATTTTCAGTAGTGTATAACCTTATTTATAGTTCTGAACAATTTCTATAAAAATGGACTACATGAAAAAAATGAAACAATTTTTAAACATGTTATATAATGTACAATCGCTATTTTTGATACGGTTTTGAAAACCGAAACATTTTTTAAAGATTTTTTTGAGATTTAAGATTAATTAATTTTCTAATACATAGTCAATGATTTGTGGACTGAAATTATTCAAATAATAATTTATTTTTATAGCTTTCTTAGTGTTAACTTTATTTTTTAGTATTTGTACAAAATATGTGTAATATGTACAAATATATTATTTAAATTATTCTGGAGCCGACTATTATGTAAATCTTAAGTTATAATTTCTAAAAGGCGACTGGGAAATAAAACTGTCTTTTATTTCAACCGTTCTATACATTGTAAGATTTTTATGTTTTTTAATCCATAGCATATACATATATACTATATGAAATTTTTATGGCTATATAAGTTTATTCACAAGTACTATAAATACTTTAACACAATTTTCAAAGTATAACTATGTAACATACTACATGATTGCTTGCTTTTAAATTTAAACCCAACTCAAATTAAATACTTTACTATAGCACTATTTCGAATTGATAACATTTAGCGGGAAGTTATGAAATTATGCTAAGGAGCTATAGCAATAGTATTATTTTTATGTATTTGCTATTAAATTTTGATAGGCATTATGTAAAGCAAGGATTTTGTGTTATTTTATGAGCCATATTTTATTTATATATTCTATTACAAAAATATTTATTATTTGCCAACATCATACAGGAACTGAAAGCTTTTTTTGTAAGTTACAAAAACTTAATATTATTGTTCTAACTTTCATATAAAAAAGATTCATGAAACCACGAAGCTAGGGAAACTTTTCTTAATTTTATCTTTACATTAACCTAAACATAGAAATGATGATTGTAAAATTAATCGTAAATACAAAATTTAAAAGCAAATTCTTATTTAACTTATTTAAACCTACATATAAGATTACAAAACGTAATAAATGAATGTATTCAATGGATCTCTTCAGTGTCTATTACTTTACCCATACTCTACGGCCGGCTGTAATGCTACATGGAATAGGTATATGATTTATTTTGGGAATGTCATAATTTCTTTAAACTATATATATTACTTTCACAAATGTTAAATAAAAAAAATTAATTATATATACATTTTACCGTAAAGACAAAGTTATATTTAATTATAAATATATAATTAATTTTTTTCTGGTATATAACAAGTAATAAATATGGTACAGGTAAATAATAATGGATGTACGTTCCAGTTTTAGTCATGACTGTTACTCCAACATATCTGAGGAAGTGTCCTATTGTTGTAATTATGTATGTGGGATGTGGTTACACTTCTTTATATCATTGTTGTCCGAACTTTGCTAGCAAGTGGACTTTATTTATCAGATTATTCGATAGTCCAGAATACAACAATATTCTTTTATAGCTCAATACTTATATTCATATAATGAAGTGTTGCCAAAACGGATGGCAAAAATTTTGCACTGTCACAAAATGCTGTTTCTGCGTGCCGATACGTAAGGGCGTTATAATATTTGGGTATTTTAATTTGGTGAGTGTCTTAATAATGAAATCTGAAACTGCCTCGAGTATTCATTTAAATGAAACTAATCTTTTTCGGATTATAACAAGACCAACTAACAGACATTCACATCTCCTTTACCGTCATTGTTGTTGCTGAAAAGTGACAAAGGAAATACTCGTAGTATAAATAAGAAAAATATAAGTTTCATTTGAGTGTCTTCATTCTTTTTGCAATAATAACTCCTCAATATAAATATGTATTATTTAATGCTTATTTTCGTTGTCAGGTTCTATCGCTTTTGTCTTTCCCCTTGCTGATATTTCTGTTAGTTGAGGAGTTGATGGGTGAACCTGTCAGGGATTATAGCAAGAGCCGCTATGTCCCATTGATTCATCTTCCAATGACGATTGCCTTCGTGTTGGTGGATGTTGTCATGATAATAATATTACTGATCGGAGCACACAAGGTATCCTATACAAAAGACTTTATTCACTTATTTTTACATCTACATAAGTGTACATTCCAATTGACAAATTACGTTTAAAAGAATTGAATATTCTTTCAATATTATTTACTTTACTTTTACTTTTAAAGATGATGTTATTAAATTTTTGTGCTTGCATTCTCGACGGACGACGATGAAAGTGTTAATAGAATTACTTGAGCGAATCGTTATGTGCCGTATGAGATCTGTCTGGGCATAACTGGATATGCCGGAATTGTATAAGTGCTAACTAGGCACTTAATACGTGAACTTTTACTTTGTTCTGTAATTTAGTTCTGTTTTACGTCACAGGTAGCGCTGTTTACTCTTTTAATGAATCTTTTTATTAATTTTAAATTAATTTTCAAGTGTAATTCAATATTTTTTTATAATTTTAAAGTCGTAAAATATAAATTAAGAATAAAACATGGTTAGAATAATTAAAAGTTTCAAAATCATGACCGTGTGATGTATGATTGTATCAGTGTGGTAACACTGCAATAATTGTCAAATTAGTTGCTCGTTTGCGACCTTTACAATAAAAACACATAGATCGAATTGATATAAACGTGAAAATTAATATCATTCGACCATTTTTAGAATGTTTTTTACTTATATTAATAATAACAATATAACTGAACTAAATTTAGCATACATATATGTATTATATTTTTTTATATTAAATTATAAATAGCAATGAACATTAAAGGGTTTCCAATTCCAACCATTTTTATTATTTTACAGTGTCGTGAACACCATAAATGCAAATAAGCACTGCATACCCTACCCATATAACATTTAAACCTATATTGTTTTATAATATCTATAAAACATTTAAAATGACATTTGATTCACGATTTTTAAAAGTGCCCTCTATAAACATAAAAAGAAATATTTTCAATCGGCTGCTGCTAGTTGCTAGCCCCTCTATGCACTCAATATCATTAATTTAATATTCCATTAAATTAATAAAATAAAAAAGCCTTCATATCTTTTCAGAAGAAAATTATTCTGTTAAAAATTTACTTATACTTCGGGCTGGTGTTTCAATCGGTGACATTTTTTATGGACCTCATCTACTTCGACTACAGGGAATATATTGAAAACTCAGTGTATTTTTTCTTTTTAGGTAAATATTCCTATGTCAGAACCAAAATTTTCTGGTCCTACTAAAAACTATATAATAACAAAAGTTAATATTGTATGTATTGTAGTATTGTATGTTAATATGTATGTATTAATATGTATCATTGTTAGCAATAAAAAAACTGTCAAAGTTATTTTTCGGATTTAATTTTCTATAATCTTAAAAACATGTCATTTTTTATAAATTTCAAAGTAACAAGCCAAAAAACGAGCAAAGCCTAGTTAATTTAAAACTGAAGATAAACATATATCATTGTGAAATCTATAGCTATATGAACAAGATTGTACGACATAACAATTATGACGTATGATCTTATATACCCAAAAAAATTACAATTTAAGCATTTTCTCATACAAGTCTGTTTTATTTAAGGTCTGAACATATATCTACTGTTCCTGGTCTACAACACCCTCAGGGTGATCAATGAGAAGAGAGACGTCCAGTATGTAACCTATCAGGAGAACGAACAATTCATATAAATCCAACCACACCAAATCTACTACAGCTTTTATTTGTGTAAGTAATGCTAGCATAAATTATCTTGTTGTATATTTTTTTCTGATGCGACTTACAGTTGTGAGAATTCAACAATATTTGGATAATAAAGGGCATTAAGATTATGCTAATAAAATAAATGAAACTAAATTGTTCGGATACTACGCGTTTTTATTAGGTTTTTATATCTATGTACATGACTCGACGTTTTGGTTCCTTTACAGCAACCGTGATCACGGGCAGACGAGAATGTACCTGAAACTAATTTTGCACATACTATGTAGATATAAAATAATAAAAAACCTTTATTATCCGGAAAACTTAGTTTCATTTAAATGTGCGCACGTGAACATCTTTGACACCATTAGTAATGAATATTTTATTGATTTATACAAAATATTTTATACAGTTTAATGAACACCAAAACTTTTTATTGAAAAACCTTTTCTATATTTTCGCGAGTACTCATTTAAATGAAACCAATATTTTCGGATTTACTACGCGATTTTTTAGTTTCGACTCGACTTTTTTATTGCTATATTCGGTTGCTGTAAAGTAGCCGAAACGTAGAGAGTATGGAGTTTATAGTCGAAAATAAAAAATCGCGTAGTAAATCCGAAAATATTAGTTTCATACTTTTATAATATATTTTTGTCTAAGTCTCAATTTATAATAAATAACAGCTAAGAACACCATCACAATACTCGTATTATAGATCTTAAAACGAGAACATTAAATTATATATGAATGCGTAAAAATTACAATTATGTCATGACAATAATATATGTAAACTTGTTTAATTCATATTTCTCAATATTCATTTAAGACGCTATAGCTTATTCAGCGTTGTCATTTAAAAGCGGTACATTCAAAGCACAGATTCGAATCCTGAATGGTTAACTATTTCTATCTATTTTACAGTGTAAATAATAATAATCCATTAAAAATACAGTGTATTCATTAAAACGTTAAGTTTGTGGTAATGATCTGTTTTATATATAGATTATGAATGTGTCTTTGTCTCAAAAATACACAAGATGTAAGGGAACAGAACAGTAAACATACGTATTCTCACGATATTGCAAGATTTAGATGTAATTTTATTTCTTAACTGAGATCTCTATGAAGCTGTACAGTATGTTGCAAAAATAATACGCCAAAACGCATAACTAAATTTTGAAATATAAAATTTTGTTACCCTTTTTTTATTGATAAACGTGACTTAAGCTGAAGGCGTTTAAATTTTCTTTATGAATATACTTTAATAACAATACTTTATCCAAATTTTATATAAAAGTCACTATTTAATTGTCTAAAATCTAAACTAAACAGTGTCAACTATGCGTAAAGTCCATGTATTCAAGTATAATGATGGTAATAGCAGCTCTATATCATTATAACAATACAGAATGTATCCAAACAAAAAGGAGAATCAGTTTTCAAATAGCATTCTCGCGAAACGGACGTCAAATGGCCGCCACTATGGGTAAAAATATAAAGTAAGCATCACTTTCACTAAACCCGTTATATATCTTTGTTTTCTGTGTTTGTAAACTAAACAAATTCAATTTGTTTACCTAATTGGTGAGTTACAAGTTCTGTTTAATTGTTTTCATTTAATAGTTTAACGAATTAATAGTATGTTACTTATAGAAGAAAGTTTTGCTTTCTGTTAGGGAAAGTGGTTTTAAATGTGTCGGAGTGAAAATAGATATATGTTTTATTTGATTATAAATTTTATCAATTTCTTATTAACATTACATATATATGCATGTTATTATTATTTATGTATATATTTATTCTTTATTTTATTTTATTTATAACAAATATAAATTGTTAAAAAAAAAACTAAATTTACTTCAAAAGTAGGTATGGTTTTTAATTAAATTAGTTATGATAATAACTATTTCTCTTAATATTATCGTTATATCTTCGAATCTTATTTGCTAAATAGGTAAACACAGATTTGATTTCAATAACTTTAGTAAAAATATTCACCTATTTTTAATTTGGATACTTTTAAATACTCATTTAATAATGACATCCTAATATTTAATATTATTTAAATTGTAAGATATATATCTCGAAAATATGATAACTTTTTCTTTTGGTATACGTCAAAAGACGAGTGAAATTTTGAACATCGTTTTTTTTTACTTAACAATGTTAGCATCTCTCCCTATAAAGTTGTCAAAGCCGCAGGACTAATAACAATATAGTTTACAAAAAACGTTAGTAAATCGTCGCCAATCTGTTAACACTCTTACGGGCATTGTCATTATTTGTATATAAATTAAAGTTCCATCTATTTCATTAAAACTCATACATATACATAGGTATATTGACAGTAATATGTATAATTGAACGCTAGACAACTACATATGTGTTGTTTCATAATACGTCTTATTTAATAGGAAAATAACATTAAAAAAATGTTATTTAATTTCATGGTTAAAATCAAATTCCATTTCCATGAACGTAAAACGTTTTCGTAATTTACGACAAGCTTTGATTTCATAACCAACTAGGTTGAAGGTTGCATACGATTTCTGTGACTTCCCGTTCTCATGCAAACAATTCAGATACGGTGAATTAAACTTGTAAACAACATTGTTACAACTATAATTAACAGTTATGAATTAATGTATACAAGTAAACAAGTATTATTCTTTAAATTATAAATATGTTTAAAAATATATATCTATGGTGATTATCAAATTTTTATCGTTTCATAGATTATTTTCCACTACTAACAAATATTAATTAAAAATATTAATTGTATCATTTATCTCGAAAAACATTTAAAAAAATTCGTTTAAAAATCCTTAACTATTCATAATTTATAACTTAAATGATTAAGTCTTTCTTTTTATATTTAGGTAGAATTATTACTATTTGTTTACCAAAATATTTTTTTTTCCGAAAAGTTTCTTCAAACACATAGGATCATACGAACATGATTACAAATAGTAAATTAAAAAAAACCCTTCATCAATTATCTTATAAAATTACGAAACAAAAAAATTCCAAATATTTAATGAACAATCGATTTTTTTTATTTGTATAATAAATATACTTAATTTAGTAGGTGAGCAAAGAGTAGTAATTGTTAAAACGATGTGTATGTGACAATGAATGGACTATAGAGTATAGACTCAGTTTACGTTGATAACGTTTGTTTATAAGAGAGTAGTATTACTAGTATCATAATAAACTGATAGCTGTGGGAGCTAAGTAGTTCGTAGTACACTTTATCAAAGAGATTAGACAGATGGTTGAATTAATATTAAGAGACGACGAGAAATATTTTATCTCTTCTTAACATGAAGGCATGATTTTA